TTTGAAAATATGTTTAGGAGAGGAAGCTGTATGATTTGATAACTTGTATTAAAATACCAATTACATTTATAGGACCTTTTAAAACTCGGCGCAATTAAACCGTGTTCTTTTACATTTTTCCGAAGCGACCCTGACATTTAGAAAGACTCCAATTGCCTCGTTAAAATCGCGAAATTAACAGCGTGCCTACGCCTGGCGCGTTGTTGTTGTGTGTGTGTGTGCTCGTGGTTTCGTGGTGTGTGTGTGTGTGTGTGCGCGAGCGCGACTCCCCCACATGAGTCTTTGGGGGTGGTCTACGAAGGTATTTGATTTGTTGTGAGGCGAGAGATATCTCATTAATGTAGGTAGTTAAACAGATTTAATCCGTATTCATTCTCTCTCACCCCCTCTTCTCCCCCCTCTCCCCCTCTCTCCCCCTCTCTTCCTCTCTCCCTGGGTGTTTTTTTCTCTTCCCCTCCTTTTTTCCGCTCTCTCCTCTCTCCCTGGCGCTCTCTCGCTCTAGCTCGCTCGCGCGCGCTCACCCTCGCTCTGCGTTCTGTCCGGGAGGAGTACCGGGAAGCCAATAGGATGCGGGGTCTCTAATGGATGCAAATGATCGTGAAAAGACAGTGCAAAATATGAAACAACTCATTTGCAGGGAAGTAAATCACCGAAAACTGTTTATGAACTGGCGTCCCTTCTTCGAAATGTAAAGCGAGGACCTCTTTAAGTGGCGGTATATTTTTGTTTTGGGGGGTGGGGGGTGGGGGGGAGGGCGAGCGAGCCGCGGCTGCCACGCGAGCTTAGACTTTGGGAGGCTTCTATCCTTTTCTGTTCCTGGAAATCACAAAAAGTGGGGTGGCTTCCCGATCTTCTTTGCCTTTTCTTTCTTTTTCTTTTCTTTTTCCCCCCCCTTTCCTCCTCCTCCCTTTCCCCTCTCCTTTCCTGGCGAGGGAGACTAGGAGCCGGCGAATCCGCGTTTTTTTCCTCTCTCTCCCTCTCTCTCTCCCTCTCTCTCTCCCTCCCTTTTCCCCCTCCCCACCCCCTCCCCACCAGCCCCCAACTACAGCCTCCGCCGCCGCCGCCGCCTCAAAATTCAATAAAATGAGCTCTTATTTCGTCAACTCACTGTTCTCCAAATACAAAACCGGGGAGTCCCTGCGCCCCAATTATTATGACTGCGGCTTCGCCCAGGATCTGGGCGGCCGACCCACCGTGGTGTACGGTCCCAGCAGCGGCGGTAGCTTCCAGCACCCGTCCCAAATTCAGGAGTTCTACCACGGGCCATCGTCGCTGTCCACGGCTCCCTACCAGCAGAACCCGTGCGCCGTGGCGTGCCACGGAGACCCGGGCAACTTCTACGGCTACGACCCGCTGCAGCGCCAGAGCCTGTTCGGAGCGCAGGACCCAGACCTGGTGCAGTACGCAGACTGCAAGCTCGCCGCCGCCAGCGGCCTGGCCGAGGAGGCCGAGGGCTCCGAGCAGAGCCCGTCGCCCACCCAGCTCTTCCCCTGGATGCGCCCGCAAGGTGAGCCTCCTGTCGGGGCTGGCTGGGGGGCACGGAGGGGTTGGGAGGGTCCTCCCCGCCGGGGGGCCGGGCAGAGCACCGGGGGGAAGGCCGGGGCGCATTTCCTCCAGCTCCTGGAAGATTTGTAGGCTCAGTTCCAAGTTATGTCAGCTTCCTTTTCTCTCTACCTCTTTCTTCTCTCTCTCTCTTTCCTTCCTCTTCTGTTTCTCTTGAAAGGGGGGGTCGCTAAGCGACATTTCCTCAACCCATAAACCCCTCACCCATCTGTACCTTTTCTTCTTCCCCTCCTTCCCCCCTTTTATTTTTACTGTTTTATGGGGGGTAGTGGAGAGCGGTGGGTGTGGGGGCGCTCAACTTTTGCACTTCTCAATTGCTTTATAGTTTAATTACCCTGAAGAAACTTTTCTTCTGGGGCAGAGGCTCTGGGGGTGGGGGGCTTTTCAAGGTGGATCCATTCGTCCCCATCTCCACTTTTTAGTCTTCCTCCCTCCCTCCTTTACATCCTTCCTTCTAAAACTTTATGGCACTTTTAGTAGATTTAAACCTCCCCTTCCAACTCTAGTGCTGAGTACCAGAGGAGGGGGCTCCCCCTTTCTGGCTCACTTAGATTCAATGGTGTCTGATTCCTCTTCACCGCCCCCCCACTGCGGGGCCTCCTGGCACCCCCCCCCGCCCGCCCCTGCACAGGGGGTAGAAGGTCTCCCAGCCTTTTATTATACCGGTCTCCTAGGCTGGTTCACGAATCTTCCAACCTTCTCTGTCTCTGCCCCCTCCCCCTTCCCTCCCCTCCCCTCCGTCTCGCCCCTATCCCCCCTTCCCAGCAGCCGCCGGACGCAGGCGAGGCCGGCAGACCTACAGCCGCTACCAGACCCTGGAGCTGGAGAAGGAGTTCCTATTCAATCCCTATCTGACTCGCAAGCGGCGGATCGAGGTGTCGCACGCGCTGGGACTGACAGAGAGACAGGTCAAAATCTGGTTCCAGAACCGGAGGATGAAGTGGAAAAAAGAAAACAACAAAGACAAGTTCCCCAGCAGCAAATGCGAGCAGGAGGAGCTGGAGAAACAGAAGCTGGAGCGGGCCCCGGAGGCGGCGGACGAGGGCGACGCGCAGAAGGGTGACAAGAAGTAAGGGGGGGGGAGGTCTCCAGCTGGGACTGCCAAGGTCGGGGCTGCCCGCCACGTCCGCGGATCCCGCGATCACGCCGCCGCCGCCGCCGCCCGCCCGCCCGGCAGATTAATGGGTGCACACAGCCTTCGGCC